CACTGTAAAGTTGTATCAATGGTGGATTCATATGATTCATTCACAAAATCCCAAGTAATAAAATCAAATATCATTTTGAGAGACATTAACGTTTTTGAGTTTAGACTACAATGATTTTAGAAGCGACGAGGATAACCAAAAAGGAAAGCTTCTTCCATTGCTCGTACCACAGAGATAAGCTCTAATGTGAAAAGATCGTTCACTCCCATGTCTCCTCCGGCGAGAGTTGAGCTTATAATGGGAGAAGAGTCTCGTTTTGTCGGCTTGAGAACGACGAATCTACAGACAGGGCATTGTCCTTTGGTCTTTAACCATGGAACTATACATTCCTCATGAAACATATGTTTGCAAGGAGTAAGCATTACTGTTTCCTTGGGCTCAAAGTCTTCTAAACACACAGTGCATTTCTTATCTTCTTCTTCGTCACCGGAGATATTTCGAGGGTTTCTCGAGTTTTCGCTTCCCGGGGTTTTGTTTCTGTAGTACAAGCTTAGGTTTCTGAGAAGCAGGCTTTTTGGGACCGGGTTATATGTTTCTTTTGTTAGATGTTTCAGGACTTCGTCTTCTTCTGTGGCTTGTGATGTTGAACTTGAGTTTCTCTCGGGTCTAGCTGTTTGTTGGAAGTGAACGGCTTGCCTTAGTGCCTCGAGGTGCTGTCTTCGTACGTTGTTGTTGGTACGGATTGGTAACTGTTGCGGAGTATGTGAATTTCTGCGCAGAACAAACAATTTTCAAGTTCTTGAAGAGCATGATAAAAAAGACTAAATATTGGGAACAAAACCAAAAGCAGGAATAATCAGATGATGTTGAATTGATGATTAAGTACATGGTTGATGAAACCGCTGTTCTTGGGTAACGAGCTGGAGGATCATCGAGCATACGCCTGTTAACCATCTGAAAGAGAACACCAAAACATCAAAAAGGAGGTTAGAATTTAAGATAAATGATCTAAAGAAAAGCCTACTTACTGAATCACTTCTGGACCAAGCGTTCCGGGAAGAGAAAGCAGGAACTCGCCAACCCGAGGATCGTGTACCGGAGTCATAACTATCGGGTTGATTTGGAACAGAAGAAGAATAGCCGTTTCTGGGGTTATTCATAGCTGAAATGAATGGCTTTTTTTCTTTTCTTGTTACAAATAAAGGATATGACTAGTCTTTGTATTGTAAATTTGTAATGCAGTTTATATTCCTTTTTTTCTTGCTTTGAGTTATTCTTTCTCCACTTATATTATTCCCTTGAAGCTGTTATGTTAAGCAAAGAATCTGTCCTACTGTTTGATATGCCATTTCTTTTATCCTGAATAAGTATCATGAACACATCATAACCTAAATCTTAAACTGGATGTTATGTAGAATCAGAATCAACACCAGAAAAAGTCAACGCTTTGACCTCGTATTCATGTCTTAAGGGGATTTAGTACCACAAATTAAGCTCACGAATCTCGTTTGTAATAAATCTTCTGAAATAATTGCTTGGTCCGAAACAGGGGATTTATCATTTACCCATCACAGTAAGTAACAATCACAAATCTCTTGAGGAAAATTATAACAAATCACAATCCAAAGATGATACAATATTTCATCTACATCAAATCCATTTTATTTGAAGAAACATAAGTCTGATGAAGAGAGTAATAACGGCGCAAGGACGAAAAGAGAAACCGAGCAATCACAAAAGGTAGAGAGAGAGTGAGAGAGCCCACACCTCAGAAAATAATGTCTGCATCTTTCTCTGCACCACCACCAGCAAGCAAGTTACGTGCAGCGTTTATCGAAATACCTCTCTGCATAGAGATTCCTTCAAGAACCATTTCTTCAGCAAACTCCTTAGCATTAGCTGCCTGTCTCTCGACTTCCCTCCTCTTGTATCCTTGAATCTTCTTCAACCTGAAGAAATCCTCTCTCTCGAGCTCATCAAGCTCTCCCTTGATGTAACTAATCGTATTCTCCAGCTTCGGTTTCACCACATTCTCTAGAGCGTTGACCCTGCGATTAGTCGTCTTGATTGCTTCATCAAGCGTCAAGAACGAAGTCTGGAGAGAAGCAAGCTCAACTAGAACTTCAATGGCTTTCACATAAGCCACACGGCAAGCTTGGACCTGTTGACCACCTCTAGCTAAACCGGTTAAGTCATTCTTGGTCTCGCCTTCAGAGAAGTGATCAAACTTAGGCAGCTTCACCCCAGCGATATTCTCTGTCCTGGAACGAACTTTCAGCGTAGCTTCTTTAACGTTCTCTAGTACAACATGCTTGACATTATCACCAGCAACATACTTGACTTCGGTAAGAGCAAAAGACGAGGTCCTCATCATATCTCCCATTGATTCCTTTGCTGTAACGATCTTCTTGAGAAGTGCCCTAAACTGAACAGTTAAAGCATCACTCTTCTTCTTGAGAAGCGCATGACCTCTTGTTGCTCCAACAAGACGAGCTTTCATAACCCCGAGCATTGTAACAGTTGGAACCACATTCAAACGCGCATTTTGGCCAGCCATGTTTCAATACTACTACTGCAAACGAAGGAGAAGAGATACGATCAATAAACAGTACAAAGACAAGAGAACACACCGACAACTATTGGAAGATTCTTCAAGAACAACAACAAAAGATGATTTTTCTATGCTTCGAAACAATACTTGCATCAATGGCGATAGAGATCAGAAATGAACAAAATTGCAAACAGGCAAAGATCTTAAGCTAATTAACCAAGCACCCATTCTTCATATCGAACGATCCATAGAGAAATCACTCAGATTTGCCCGATTGAATCAAAGTCTACGACTTTAGATCATTTTTGTATTAATTCCAACCACAGACACGGAATTGGTTCCAGATCCCCAGAAGGGCGAAATCGGGATCAAAGATCGATTCGGACTCGGAATTGATCAGTCGGGTTTATGGATACATCAACAATTATCAACATCGAAACCCATAAATTTCACAGATTCGATGAGAAATTAAACCAGAGAGAATTGAGAGGAAGAAGTAAGATTTGAGATGACAAACCTGGGCTTCTCGAGAGACTATGAGAAGCGACTTCTTTGCGAGTAAAATCACTGAAGAAATAGGACAGAAAGAGAGAGAGAGACCTTGGAGAAATTGAAATTTGTCTTAAGAGAACTGTTGATAG